TGGTACATTTCCAGAATATGTGTGTGTGATCTGAATCCATATCACTGCACAGTCTCCAGCATGGTTGGCGAGTGTTCGACTGTTTGCTTTTGATTTTAGGTGTAATGAAATACAGTGGGGCAAAAAAGTATTTAGTCAGCCACCAATAGTGCAAGTTCTCCCACTCAAAAAGATGAGAGAGGCCGGTAATTTTCATCATAGATATACCTCAACTATGAGAGACAAAATGAGAAAAAAAAAATCCAGAAAATCACATTGTCTGATTTTTAAAGAATTTATTTGAAAAATATGGTGGAAAATAAGTATTTGGTCAATAACAAAAGTTCATCTCAATACTTTGTTATATACCCTTTGTTGGCAATGAGAGAGAGCATTGCCAAAGGGTAACTTTTGAATATCAAATACCAAAAACGGCCAGATGATGGCAGAAGTGCATCTATATCTACCATTTGCATGAACCACATTTCTTTTGATATCCAGTTTAGCTGCTAAGCTTTGTGTTCGGCGAGGAAAACACAAACCCTTACATACATGAATCTGTTATTGACGCTGGTCCATTAGCTGTTGCTGTAGCTCTCGTGAAATGTGCGCGACCGCATTAACAGCAGCTTGATGACCAGGGTCTAACTCATGTTTGTGTAGCACCTTTTTGCTGCTGTGTGCGTAAATAAGTTTCCTGGAGCACAGCATGTAGAAGCAAGCGCCCGGTTTGGCTAGCCACCTCGCCCTGTCTCCTCCAGCCATGCCTAGTGCCATTTATTTATTTATTTATTTTTTATTTATTTACTGTCAATTTATCTGTGAGGGGTTTCTCTTACTCACGGGCGATTGCTACGAGCCGGAAATCGGGCCTGGGGCTGGAATACTTTAATCCGTGTGGTCTACCTGTTAAAATGTAAATTAAGCTGCACTTTGACCTTAACGAGGAGCCGTAACGAAACACCATGGATTTCAGTAACAGTAATGGAGGACAGACCTACTGATGCTACAGGAGCAGCTTATAGACCTTTAATTCAAAATAAAATGATAAATACTGCTTTAGATCAAAAATAATGTCCCCATGTAATAAACAAAAAAGCTGAACTATTTCCTTTTATTTTTTTCAAGATTTATTTATTTACTGTTAGATTTACTTAAATTTTAAAGGAATACTTTATAATTTCCAGATTAGTATGTTTATTTTGTTACAAAATTTCCAATGAGGGGGCGGGTCCTTCACTTATATATAAGTATCATTACAAAATAAAAGTCTCACAAATGAAAACACAATTTTGAAATAAAAATATGATAAAATAAAGGCAGATTTTTATTTACTTTTTTTTTAAAATAAAAAGTAAATAAATTCCTAAAAACGTAAGATTAACTTATATATATTATTGTATTTGACTGGCTTAGTAAATTTTTTTATTTGATATTTATCAATAATTTTATAATTAAAGCAATTATTTTGGACTGTTTCTCCATAGCAGCTGACCGTGTCATCAGGCAGCGTTCTAGATTAGACAGAACCGAAGATCGTAAAACCTGTAGGTCAGAGGTCACAGATTAGCGGACCGCAGTCCTGATCCAGACCCACCTGCTGGCTAATCCGGACCCACACTGATTTAAAACTTTTATTAAATTACTGCATGTTGTCTGACCACAGTCTCTAACTTCCCTTGCGCCTCTTTTCCTGTTAATACGGTAAAGCCCTGGGGAGCGTCCGGCTCCAGGCTGCACGTGATCCAAATGAGCCAATGAGCTGTCAGTCTGGGTTGCTGCTGCTGCTACTTTTAGACACAGCAGGCAAACCTGTGGCAAGCCGGGCGATGGGAAAGAAGGAGAAGACCATGAGAAAAAGAGAGCAGAGAAAGTGTGGACTGCTGGAAGAACTGCGGTGAACTGGTGAAAGAAAAGTGAAATGGCGTGCTCAAAGATGACCCTGCACATTTAGAGGATGTTTGGCTCAACCTGCTGCTGTGAAGCAGGATTCTCCACCATGAACAGAATCAACAATAAATCTGGATCCAGGCTCAAAATGAGCTCCTTGATATGTGCTTGAGAATGGCTTAGTCTCCGGTTAAACCCAGGTTTAAAGCCTTGCAGGGCAGCCTAAAGCCCACTGCCAACATTAAGACAGAAAATAACAAACGATCAGTGCAGGGGTTTGAAAAAATATGGGAATCAGGAAATTGTCTATAAACCAAACTGAACAATTGTTGTTCTCTACTTCAAAAAACAATTTAGATTTTGAAATGTAAAATTTTCTTTCAGCCATATAAATATATATATATATATATATATATATATATATATTTATATTTATATTTTAAAGGTCAATGTATAAGATGGATGCATAAAAACCTAATTTTATTTTAGTGTTAAATTCAGTTTAAAGTAACAGATTATAATTAAAAATGTCTCCAGATCTTTACTGGTTGATGATTTTCTTTATTCAGACTCCAATGATTTTTAATTGGTTACTGCTGCTGTAGAGAAACAAAAAGGAATATGTTCTGATATTATGAGCGCCTCTGATCCAGAGGCATTTTATTTATTTATGTATTTAGTTTCTGTGCATCTGGGTGTCGTTCTGATTAGTATAGATCTAGTTTCAACTTTCAGGTCTATAATATCATTGTGACCCATTTCGAAAATGAATCCATTGCAAAGTCGTCAGAATAAACTAAAAAACAGGAAAGGGCCTAAACAGCGGCCCTGAGGAACACCACCGTGGATCAAGTTTATTATTCAGTCGTTAATTAAGTAGATTTCTTCTTCTGTTTTCATTTAATTTGTTTTTTTTTTTCTGTGGTTTATACCAACCTCTTTATCTGACATTATTTCCGTCTGGGATTAATAAAATAGTTTGAGAAAGTTGCCCTAAGAGAATATTAGCAATAAAAACTGGAACCTTCTTGTTAAAAAAATTCAATATAAAAGTCTGCTTAGAAAAGCTGCAGCTTCACCTCCTAAATCAACATTTATCATCATTATTATTAATGATTCTTAGGAATTAGTTTCCTTCACAGCTTAATCAGACATTTTCAGCTCAACACTGACCTCTGCTGGCCAATGTTATTTAGAGTTTAATCTCCTGTGAAGCAAAGGAAGCAAAACTGGCTGTAAAATATTAAAACACAATCAGACTTTCAGCTAAAAAATGTTCAGTAATGAAAACCGGAAAAAAAATAAGACTCAGTAATTATACTTTTGTTTAAAAACTGTTTCTGCTGAACTCCCTTTTTTTTTTTTGTTAAAAAGCACAAAAACAAACTTTTGGAGATTAATTTTTACTTAAATTTGTACTTTTTTCTAATTTGAATTATTATTATATTAATTATGAAATTGTTGATTAGCAATTGTTTTGAGTTTTATGATTTGGGTTTGTTGAATTGTTAATTCTTGTTAACTTAATACTTTTTTGTTGCTTAATTTTAACTTAATTTAACTTAACACTTTTTTGCCCTGTTAGCTGCTGGTAACCTTAATTTCCGGAGGGAGTCTTCCCAAGAGATCAACAAAGTTCTGTCTAAGTCTATAAAGAAATGCTGCCAAACAAAAACATAATGACATTTCTAACCGATGACTTTAATACTTCAAATCTATGTCTAATCTATGTAAATTTAGTAGAATTTCTATCTGACTTTTATTTTTTCAGGCCACTTCCTGTGTCGCCCACAGTAGTTAGCCTCTTCAAAGCCCCGCCTCAAGCCTGCAGGTAAGGATCCTCACCTGTTTCCTGTTTCCACTGTGATTGAGGCTTGCTGCTGGTGTCTTCTGCATTTCTCCATCTGAAATCTTTAACCCTATTGATTTGATTGCTGGGTGAGTTCATTTGATAAAATATAATTTTTTTTCTTGTATTATTTTTGCTTAATTGCTCATTAATTAGAGCGTTGTTTTATCAGAAAAGGTAACTTGCTTGCTGAATCTTGTGCGTTTGACAAGTTTACCATGATTCCGGAACAGTATTTAAAACATTAATCTGAGCAGTGTAGCTACACATAAGTTGATATTGCGCAGTATGTATATTTAATTTTTTTTTCCCTTTCGCTCACTCTGCTGAGTATTTGACAATTTGTTTTATTTTTCTTGATTGATATTTTGAAAGTGCACTTCATCTTTAACTTTACCTTTAAATTAATTAAACTTGAAACATGATACTTTTTGTTTTACTTTTTGAATTATGGTTAACTTAACCTGATTGAAATGTTTGTTAGAAATATAATAAATTTCAGTTGCATTTACTATGCATAAATTAAATACTTTAATAATTGTTTTGCTTTATATTATATTTGCATTTATTTGGTTTTGATGAAACTTAATGGATTTTTCTGACCTTTTTATGTCGGTTCCCCCCCCCCCCCCCCCCCCCCCCCCTTTGGGTCAGATCCTCATTTGGATCTAAAAATGGCGAGCTAGTAATGGACTATGGACTTTATGATTTTGAAATTAATTTGTTTTGGGTCAATCCTCTTGTGTCTCATTGTGTTGCTGTAATTTTTCTGTTTTATTCATCCACCCAACCTAAAAGCACTGCGTTCTGTTTTTCTTCACGCCTCAGGCTCCTTAAAAGGACACTTTTCTGATGCTGCTTTTGTAGCCGCAGTTAGCTGCCTAGCCCATAACTGTTACAGGTGATAACACCGCCCTCTAGTGTAAGATATAAAAAAGGGACTTTTTAAATCACCAATTGTGTAAATATACATTGAAACACCATATAGACACATTTTAATGTGGAAAAGAAGAGAATCAACATGTATAAATTCCCAGGCTGATCTCTGGGGGGTTCTGAATGCCGTGTTTCTCCCGGCGTGAATCTGAACACGAAGTTAAATTATTTAACTTTCCAGAATCAGGTTGTCGTCCACCGCTGTCCTCCGTTCAGCCTGATGGTTGGTTTGGTTTCCATCCTGAAGGGAAATGCTGCAGGGCTGCACAGTGCAGCAGTGTGCAGCAAGAAGGTTCTGGGTTTGATTCCCAGCCCGGGATCTTTCTGCATGGAGGTTGCATGTTCTCCCTGAGCATGCATGGGTTCTCCCCGGGTACTCCAGCTTCCTCCCACAGTCCAAAAACATGATTGTTAGGTTAACTGGCTTCTTTAAATCCTCCTTAGGTGGGTTTGGTCGTGTTTCCCTGGTGAATAAGTGGGAGAAGATGGATGGATGCTGAACCTTCAGGATTTGATCAATTGTCTTAATCTAAAAAATTTGTTTTTACATTATTTTTAATCTAATTTATGATGTGTTTTTATATAACATTTCTATTTTATTTCTCAAAATTTAGTTTTTCACATTATGCTTGTTCACCTCGATCAATCAAGATGGACAAACTAACTTCCAGCAGACCGACAGATCTATGTCTTTGCTTCTATTTCCAGAAGAAAGTTGATTGATTGACTTTATTGATTGGTTTTACTCACAGTGAAGAAATTTACCCGTTCCATCATCTCAAATAGTCAAAAAAGAATTAAATGCTAAAGGAAGAAAAAGGTGCATGTGATATATACAGTATATACACATATGACAGATTTATCTTCCAAGTCTAGGAGTATATTTCTATAACATCATTCACAGCACATATCATCTAAATCAGGAGTCTTCAACATTTTCCAGGCCAAGAACCCTTAAATGGCGAGATGAAGCGGCCCCCTGATTTTATATATAGTGTTCTATCAAACTGGTCCTACAGTCACTCTATTACAGATGGAGTAATGTAACTAAAGTAATCCCTCCCTGGGATTATGAAAGTATTTCTGATTCCTGGTTGATGGGACAGGTGTTGTGAATGAAACGGTGCCCAGCTTGAAAGAGCTCCTGTGTGTCTCTGAATGTGAGCATTGATGACTGAAAGACATCTTCTGCCTCCATTTATCTGTTTACTACAGTCTGTTGGATTCATGTTAATGTGGATTTAAAGACATTTCAATTAATGGAAAAAATTACAGGTGGTAATATAGAAAAAAATAAATCTAATCAATCCCCATGTAGTACCTCCAAGGACCCCCTAGGGGTCGCCGACCCCCTGTTGAAGAGCTCCGATCTGAAGGCATTTTATAAAAACAATACAGTCAGACCGGTTAGAAGTTCAAACCTGATATTATCCAGTCATTGATTTGCCAGACTTTCCTGGATATAAAGACAGCAGATATTTTCTTGCATTTTGTCGTTGACTCTTCAGCAATCCCTCACACTAAGCATGTATGTAGCGACAGTGGAGAGGAAAAACTCCCTTTGAACAGGAAGAAACCTCCAGCAGAACCAGGCTCAGTGTGAGCGGCCATCTGCTGAGGCCCACTGGGGTTCAAGGAGACAGAAGCAGACATAGAAAAAAAAGCATAGATACAAAAGGCAACTGTCAACCAGCTCCACAGGCGGCCCCGTCCAGGAAACACACAGCCAGGCAGACGAGCTCCGAGCCAGCTCCCATGTCAGAGGATGAAGAGAGCACATCCAGTTAGTCACAGTCAGAGAAACAGGACTACACTGGAAAACAGGCCAAGCTCCAACATCTAGAAACAAAGGTGTTGATGGCAGCAGCACAGCTGATATTTCTCTCCAGGATGGAGTCACAGCCAAACAGGAACAGACCAGATGAAGCTACTATGAGAAAAATAATATCATCTGTTAAAAACAATAAAAAGACATTAAAAACATTAAATACAGAAAAGGCTAAACAAAATCAGAGCAAAAAGTAAAAAAAAACAAAACATCTTTCAGTTTCATTTTTAAATTGCATTTTGTTCTCTCTAATATGAATTTACAAAATGTTTTCTATTCTTGCCACAATAAGGGAACAAAAATTCACTCTATACTGATCTGATTTCCTCCTCTGATGCTTCATTTCCCAGATTCCTTCATATCTGAGCGCTGAGGCTGATCCTCCAGAAGCCCAGCAGGTGGCAGTAGAGACTCACGGTTAATGTGAGCTGATGAACCTGTTCACCCATGACCCCCCCCCCACAGTGGGTCCTCAGCCATCCAGCCTTGCATCAGAAAGCTGACCCCGAGCTGTTTCAGCCGTCATGGATGTGTGTGGATGTCTGTATTCATGGCAGCGTTGCACATTCCAAGATGGCCTCCTCTCCCTCCCTTAAAGTAAACACAGACTCTCACCTGCTTGGTGTGTGTGCTGCTCTGGCCTCCCTGCCCTGACTGCTGATGTCCTGCCATCTGCCCCAGCTGGTTGGCAAACCCTCTGATGTCAGGGAGGAGCTCTGCAAGGTGCTGCTGACTGAGTCCCAGCATCAACTACAAAGAAAAGCAGAGGTGGGAAAAGTACTAAAATATCATACTCAAGTAAAAGTAACAATACTTGGATTCCGTAAAAATTCAAAAAATAGGATGAAATATTACTCAAGTACAAGTAAAATTACCCATCAGAAAAGTTACTGAAGTAAAAGCAATAAGTAGCTAATTTAAAATGTATTTGAAGTAAAACTTACTTAGTTACATAAAAAAAAAAAAAAACTGTTGAACGGGGCAGGGGATCACTAACCTGACTCCGCCAGATGGATTTGCTCCGCATATCCATCTGGTAATCTTCCGTTGAAGTAATTTTGGGAAGGGGCGAAAATACTGGTTAGCTGATTGGCCTATGTTGGTGATAGACGGACCAAATAAACCAATCAGATCAACGAAGCATATGACGTACTAACAGAGCGACGACGAAGAGGAGCCAATTGATAGATCAAACTCTTGCAGAAACCAGTCGGGAGAAGAGCAAAAACATCTTTTCCTCTGAGAAAAGCCTCCAGAGCAGTGTTTTGCTCTTCTTTCAGTGAAGAAATACTCTGTAATTCCGATAAAACTTGCTCGATAGCCACGCTAACGCTAGTTTCATCGGCTGAAGCCGCCATGTTCTTTAGACTGAACTGTCGCGCTTCTCGTTGCGTCACACCTCAACCTGCCTCAAAGCCAACGCTGATTGGACGTTCGTTTGGTGAACGGCTCCAAATTTTCTTCAACTGAGAGTCTCCAGACTGATCTGCGAGTGAAACCTTGAAAGCTCGCGAGATCACGATGGTCTCACCAGGCTAGGGGATCTCTCCCATGTAGTGAAAATAGGACAGGGAGTCATAAATCCAAAACTATTTAGTTTTTAATGAAAGAAAAATCTATAAAAATGTATACACATGTAATGACAAGATAACACATGTCCCACATGACATTTAAGACCCATTTTAGGCCCCGTCCACATGAAGTCAAACCCTGGCCTAAACGCACAAATTTTTCACCAAACCAGCCTCTCATCCATACGAAGCCAGCGTTTCGGGGTCTGTAAACGATTTTTTTTTTATTAAGCCTTCAGAGTGGGAAGATTTTGAAACGCCGTTTTCGCGTTTCCATCTTTAAGCTCTAACCGCATTTTTTTTCTTACATGCATGCGTCATAGCGTCGCCTCTAAACACGCATGCGCGACACAGTATCACAACAACAATGGCGCCGTACTGAGTTGAATGGTTGCTGCTCATGCTACTCACCCTGCTGTCGGGCTTACAACAGAATCTTCTTCTTCTGGAATATCTCCAGGAAGAACAGAGCAATATCCACGACATAGTTCAGCACCTGAATTTGACTGAACCACGAAAATGGACCCGCAGGGGTTTTCCGGTTTGGTTGTTGTATAAATTTTACTGCGCATGCCTTGCATACATTTTGCAGCGTTTTCATGCATTCGTGTGGACGATCACATTTATTTTACGTCTCCGTCTTTACGAAAAACGTTCTGGAAAATATTAGCGTTTCGTGTTCGTTTTGAGTTCGTGTGGACGGGGCCTCAGGCCAAGGATTTTCGTCGTTTTGGGCAGCAGAATTCGATGTTTCAGCTAGCATTTCTAGTGAAAGTTCTCTGAACCGTCGTCGTTCTCCTGATCCACCTCCATCTCGTTCCCAATCTCCTACAGAAAGACTTGGCGCCTGGTAGCCTAGATCTACATGCTGATCACGTCACTCGCTGTAGTGCTTCCACGCCCGATTTTTTGTCTTCCTTTCAGTTTTCCAACGTTTTTTTTTTACTCGGTAACGGATGGGATTTGAAAAGTAACGAAATACAATACTTCACTCAAAACGTAATCGGGTAAAATTTAAATTACCGATTTTAAAAACTACTTGAAAAATAAACAATAACCCTACTCAATACAGTAACTTGAGTAAATGTATTTAGTTACTTTCCACCTCTGAAGAAAAGAGTCCTTTTTGCTTTGAGGTTGTTGTTTTTTTAAAGGCAAAGTCGCTCATATTCAGAATTCAAACTTCTGAAAGTTCTTTAAATCTGAAATGATTCCATCCTGTTCAATAAATGATCAGTGTTTTTAATTCAGAGTAATTTTCATGTGAATGTGCTTTACTGGAGGCATCCATGTTTGTCAAAGAACACTACTGCCACCTACTGGTTAGTGACGTCACGGTGCGGTATCGGCTGTTGATCGAGTCCCAGTGCTGTATTAGATGGGTCTGGATCCGGACCGTGGTCTGCTAATCTGTGACCTCTGACCTATGTCTACACCCAAATTTGAAAAAATCCACAGAAAGTTCAGCGTTTTAGGAGAGTCTGGGACTTCGGGCGTACATTGGCTAAATCGGCATCGTGTGTCAGGGGCTTTAGTGCGCTTGTACTCTGAGAAGGTTGCAGGTACCGGGTTCAATCCCCACAGCCTCCACTCTGGGCATCTGAGCAAGACCCTTCCCACCACTCTGCTCCCCGAGCGCCGCACAATGGCAGCCCACTGCTCCCCAAGGGGAGGGGTTAAGGCAAGGCAAATTTATTTGTATAGCACAATTCAGTACAAAGACAATGCAAAGTGCTTTACATGATTAAAATACAGGAAGATAAAAGAGAATCAAAGCAAGTTGGAAAATAAATACATAAAATAAAATAAAAAATGCAGAAACAAAAAAAGAATATTAAAAACAGTTGGAAGTTTTTGTTAGATTACATTTATTTATTAGATTTTTTTTTTTTTTTATGGAGAAGAAGAGGACTTTGTTTGAGCTAATTTTCCAGTATTTGATTTCTAATTATCTTTAAAGCTGTTAGCATTTGATCAAAAATTTCTCCTTGGGCAGTTGACAATTCCCCAGAACCTTGCCTTTTGTTCTACTACCGTAGAACTGCAAAACCTTTCCCATTAAGGTTAAATGCAGAGAGTTCATTTCTACACTGAAAAAATGATCTCAAAATGAGTAAAAATTTCTTAAATTAAGCATATTTACCCTTAATTTGAGCAGGTAAATAAGATGATTTGCCAATGGAATTAGTATTTTTTACTCCTAAAATAAGGTATCTAGATAAAATGCACTTGAAATAAGACAATGCAATTGTTTTTTCTTATTTTAAGTGTAAATTGTCTTGTTCCAATGGCAAAGTGTCTCACTTAAATCCGTAATTCAAGAAAAAATGCACTTATTTTAAGAAGAAATGACTTATTTAGATTTCATTTTTTTGCAGTGTATCCTTTCTATTTTTATCCCTTTCTTGTTCTGTCAGCAGTTTCTGTGGATTTCCATGACTCCTTTTCCTGTTTAACGTTCGCCATCTTTAAGTTGGATCTACATCTGAAAATAAAAATAAAAACGGGTCACAAAATGCAGATTATCACAGATTATTTTATGTGAAACTAATCCTGAGACGGAGGAAAGATTTCCTGATGTTGAACGTCTTCTAGTTTGACTATAAATGATGAAAATGTGGCAGTATGCCCTGCGGGCTTTGAACGCACCATACAAGTGCCGATCCAATTGGTCGTGGCGCTGTCTGTATATAAAGGGCCCTCCCTCACCTGGTCATCATGTTGTCCTTCCGGTTCAGACCTCTGTGTTTGTTGGCGCAGCACGCCAGCTGCATACGGATGCGCGCTTGAATGATGCGCTTTAAACTAAACGCTGATCAAGCCTTCTTGTGGTAAGAGTTATTTTATACCGGTACTCTAATTCTGTTAGCCTAGCCGTAGCTCAGTTTTACTGATATATAATATATATAGACAAAGACAAAGACACCTGCATATTATGCAGGTGTCCCATACAAGCTGCCTGATTCTTCTCCTTGCCAGAGGCACTACATAGAGCTCAGTGGTAAGTGAAAAGCTCATTCTTCACATGCTTCTAGATATTATATGTTTTTTTGACATGCATGTTTGATTAGACGCTGCTGTTTGTCCTTGGCCGACTGTTTCGTCTGCTGTTTCCAGCCGGCAGTCCGCCTGTAGGCGTCCGTCGCCGGCTGCCTGTTTCTCTGGCTGTCGGCTCCATGCCCGCCGTCCTGGTCAGCGTGAAGCTGCTTCCTGTTTCTCGTCCACTGTGACTGATTCGGGCCGGTCTGTGACTGGCGTGTACAAATTCTTTGGTGAATCTTTGTGCAGTGTCTGCTGCGGTGTGGGGGTTCATCCCTAAACTTACCTTATTGAAACTACTGCTGCTTGATTTTTGTGAACTGAACGTTTTTTTTAATATGAAATGTGTGATTTGACTGTCTTTTTATTTTGACAGAAACGGCCAGCTCCTGGTGTTGGTGGTGGACCCTCTGGGTGGTGGTACTCCTTTTGGTTTGTGCACAATTTTCTTTTTGTTTTTTGTTTTTTTCCTGTGTTCTTTTGTAGGTCACTACCCTGATTTACACTGCCAGCCTGGAGTTGAGCTGTGACTGTTATTTTAATGTGTGAGTGGTTTTAATAGCTTTGTCTAATACTGTAATAAAATTATTGAATCTGGTGAGATTGTCTCAGGCCTCCTCTTTAGCGGGCCTGTGTGACTTCAAGGTAACTTTCCAGGGAAACTATTGCAACCTTACATTAAATTTGCAGTTTTAAAGTGCAGTTACCAATTTGGATCACTCGGTACCACTACAAAAAGATCAGATTTTTTTCCCTCTGTTATGTCGTCCTCCAGCAGACTCGTTAGAGCACACCTTCAACTAAACTGCAAAGCAATCTGTGATTGTCTAATCCGAATGCTTATTCATTTCTGGTTATAAGATGAATTATACAGCTTTGCCTCCATCACTGTTTCTTGCTTTGTGAGGAAATATTTTGGTGTGTTGTCACTGAGGTTGCCTTCGGTAAACATGTGTTCAGATATCGTAGATCTGCAGGCGCAGACTGACTCACTGCGCTGCTAATCCTTCTCCTAAACTCTTGATCTATCTCTGGCTCTGGGGCCTCCCTCAGATTTCCCAAAGTTTCAACCAGACCTGCATGAACTGCAGGTTTAAACGGAGGAGCACTGGGAGTGTTGGGATTCGGCGCTCTAACCGAGGTAAATGGCTGCTCCTCCATCATGTGGAGCCTCTCAGGGCCCGCCGTGCTCCGCAGAAACATGGAGATAAATTAATCATCCACTGTGTGCATCCATGCACCTCCTTATTCCTCCTCGTCTGCTTCTTCTCAGCGTCGGTTTCTTTGCAGCATTCCTTTATTTTTGCCCCCTCTCGCTTCTCTCCCCCCCCTGATCCGTCTGCCTCAGCTGAAGCCCTCCCCTCCAGCATGTTTCACTGATGTGTAACGCTGACCCACTTTATCTAAAGGCAAGCGAGGATGAAGGAAGCAGCGGCTGGGGGAGGATGGAGCGACTTCACATCCTCCTCCTCTCCCTGCTGCTCACGTCCCATAGCGCTCTGTTTAAGGTAAATATTTTTACAGCTCCGCTCATCCCAAGGACTTCTGAGACCAGCTCCCACCCTTAGAGCGAGTTCAAATATTCATCATCTCTTTCCCTCCTCACCCCCACGGCTCGGCGTTTCTCTGCTGCTCAGGTTTCACATCTCCATACCTGAGCTCCTGGATCCTCCCGCCTCCTTTGCTCGCCCTGCACTGTTCAGTGCAAAGGAGCAGCACCATATGTGTGTCATGTCCGGGTCTCACTTCCATGCTGTTAACATGTTAGGTGGGAACCACATGCACAGAACTCCATCCCCTCCATCCTGAGGTTTCCTACTGAAAGAGTAAATCTTAATTTTCCATTTCCTGTGCAAAGTCTCAGTCATGGTGACCAGAAACGGGCTTTAATCGACGCGCTCCTCGCCAGGTTACCTTAGCTACAGTAGCAGCCATTCAAAATGGCCGTTCCCAGTAAAACACCAGCCCACTTTCCTGTAACTCCCAGCTAACCCCTCAAACTTCCAGCCACTGCAGTGACGACTTCTGGCATATTTTTTCCCTCTGACTCCAACCTTTCATTGAATTACAGGGTCTGACCAGTAGATGGCGCTTCTCTTTAGATCTTAATTTCCACAAATCATGAAAGAATATTTTAGTACAAATATTGATGTTTAAAAAGGAATCATAGGGGACCCGTCAAGGAAAGTGGGGACATTTGAATGGTTTCTACCAGGGATGCACGATATTGGGATTTTGGCCGATATCCGATATGCCGATATTTTAAAACTCATGTAGCCGATAACCGATATCGATACCGATGTTAAAGCTGGACAGAAATAAGTAGTCATTGAAAATAGCAGTTTTGTTATCCATTTCTGACACTTTGAAAAATAATATACTCAAATATATTTTCATATGCTGATATCAAATAGATTTTTAAAAACGCGGTATCGATCTATTTTACTTTCAAAATCTGGTGAAATTTCATCGTTCTGTTACAATCTCTCGTGATATTTTGCAAATTCTTGTGAGATTTTGTTAGTAAAATAGATCGATACCGCGTCAATATATCAACATATAAAAATATGGCAACATTTGGTGAATTTTCGGGGGATTTCGTAGCATAACGATGACATATAGCAATATTTCATTAGTAAAAGAGATTGATATGGTGTTTTTAAATGGCAATATATCAGCATATGAAGATATTGGGATATTTTAATGGATCAATATTTTTTCCGTCGTCTTTAGAAGTTTTTAAGTCTGTAAAAAAGAAGTTTTTGAGGAAGAAGAAGAAGTAGTATTTATTTATTTTTTTTTAGACTTTAGAAACTCAGAAGCTGATCAAATATCGGGTTAAATATCGGTGGGGTGGCCGATGTCCGATATTCAGTTTTAAGGCCGATACCGATAGGGGGCCCATTATATCGTGCATCACTAGTTTCTACTGTAAAGGAGTTGAAGTATCTCGTGGTCTTGCTTGCAGTTGATAGGGGGGGGGAATGGAGCGGGAGATTGATGGGCTTATCGGTGCGGCTGCTGCTATGATGTAGGCTCTGCAGCAGCCTGTTGGGGTTATGAGAGCTGAGAAGTCTACGTTCCTACACTCCTCTCCAGCTTTTTAGCTTGCCACACGTACAGAGCAGAGAGGCCGGGTGGCAGTCTGTGGGAGTGGGGGTCGAACTCAGAACCTCTGAATCCCAAGTATGATGCCGTGGCCACTAGGCCACCACTCCCCTTCTCGATCATGGAAAATAAGAAGAAAATAAGCCCCCGGGTACAAGTGGTTGAATTTTTCTCCTCAGGGTGGTTGAGAACTGCCTTAGAGAGACGACTGAGGAGCTCGGTCACCCAGGAGAGGCTCGAAGTTGAGTTAATTCTTAAATTCTCCAGGCTAACTAGCTATTGTGTAAATCCCAGAAAGTTGAAGGTTCGTCCTGATCCTCTGACATGGGAGCTGGCTCAGAGCTCGTCTGCCTGGCTGTGTGTTTCCTGGACGGGGCCGCCTGTGGAGCTGGTTGACAGTTGCCTTTTGTATCTATGCTTCTTTTTCTATGTCTGCTTCTGTCTCCTTGAACCCCAGTGGGCCTCAGCAGATGGCCGCTCACACTGAGCCTGGTTCTGCTGGAGGTTTCTTCCTGTTCAAAGGGAGTTTTTCCTCCCCACTGTCGCTACAAGCATGCTTACTGTGAGGGATTGCTGAAGAGTCAATGAGTCGATGCAATCAGCTGGTTTTCCTTAGAGACAACTTGAAAACTTTGAATCAATCTAACTGGATGATCTGGCTGAACGGGAAAGTGACCTGAGATGACATGATGTGAATTGGAGCTATAGAAATAAACTGAATAGAATTTAATTGAAAGGCTGGAACTGATTTATCTGTGTGTAATTTTAGATTTTGGTTCCCTGAAAAGACCAAAGTGTTGGACATGACTCTGTAACCTTCTACAAGCAGAGAGATGTGAACAACATTGTTCTTCACCGTCTCTAGATGGCATTATGTGCTTTTAAAAAATAAAGTTTTACCTTCATATTAGACGAGTTTAATCCGATTTAATTACACTGCAAAAAAATGAAATCTAAATAAGTCATTTCTTCTTAAAATAAGTGCATTTTTTCTTGAATTACGGATTTAAGTGAGACACTTTGCCATTGGAACAAGACAATTTACACTTAAAATAAGAAAAAACAATTGCATTGTCTTATTTCAAGTGCATTTTATCTAGATACCTTATTTTAGGAGTAAAAAATACTAATTCCATTGGCAAATCATCTTATTTACCTGCTCAAATTAAGGGTAAATATGCTTAATTTAAGAAATTTTTACTCATTTTGAGATCATTTTTTCAGTGTATAGTGAGCATGATGTAAAAAACTAAGAAAGTCCAGAGAAGCATTAGTTTAAAATACTAAAAGCAAGAGCATGTCTGGATCTACATCTCTGGATGTGATATTTGGTAGCAGGTATATTTTTGGCACTGCTGTTTGTCATGGTCTTGGTTCTTTTATCCTTTACTTTGCTCCTTGTTTTCTAGATTTATTGGTTTAATTCCTATTTTGTTGTAGTTTCTACACTGCAAAAATAATCCAGAAATAAGTAAAAAATGGCTTAAATTAAGTATATTTTGCCTTAATTTGAGCAGGTAAATAAGATGATTTGCCAATGGAATGAGTATTTTCACTCTTAAAATAAGATAGTTAGATAATATTTACTTGAAATAAGACGATAAAATAGTTTTTTCTTATTTTAAAAGGAAATTGTCTTGTTCCATTGGCAAAGTGTCTTACTTATCTCCTCAAATCAAGGAAAAACACACTTATTTTAAGAAAAAATTACTTATTGAGATTTATATTTTGTTGTAGTTTCTAGATTTATGTTCTCAGGTTTTTCTGTAGTTTTCCTTTGTTGCCATCTTGTGTTTTCCTTTCCCCTTGGTTCCCTCGTTGTCTCCTCTCACACCTGCTCCTTATCTGCTCGTTAGCCCTGCCTTTGTCTCAGTCAGCTATATGTGCTCTCCCTCTGCTCTCACTCGTTGTTGCTTCCTTGTCTTTGCTGTCCTCCCATGCTGTTGTCCACCTACCTCGTCTTTCCCCAGATGTCTCCTTAGTTCTGGTTTGCTTTTCATTATTAGTTAGATTTTTAGATTCCTGCCTTTGTTACTGTTTTTTCACCATTAAAACTGCAAGAAATCTTCTCAGCCTCTCTGCTTCTGCATCTGGGTCCTCAAACCTCAACCAAACCCTGACATTGTTGCACAAAAAAAGGAAGGAAATCTGTTTTAGATGCAGAAATGCTGAGGGTAAAGCAATTTTATTGTTTATCCTTAATCACAAGCATCTCCACCACTGTGAACCAGCCTATATGAAATATTTCAGAGACACTTTCTTTCAATCTCACCACAAAGAGTTTCTCTCAGACGGATTGCCGTGTACCGGTGGATGAGAGCAGCAGACGAGAAGAAAAGATTAAAGCAAGCATCTGGAGAAATGGACAGAGTGAAAGTCACATGCGTGGAGGGTAGGAGAACACGTGGCAAACCTGCCTCTCGCTCGCTAAATATTTAATGGCCGGGACTAAAACCAGCGCTGTGAACTCTGAGGAAGTGTGACAGCTGAAAATGCTCTGAAGACGGCCTCCTGCGGCCGGCTTCTAGGAGCAAAATGACGGGAAAGCGGAGTACAGGATTCATTTTGGGAAGAAGGAAGCACCTGAGTTTATAGATGCAGGACAGAGAGAAGCTGAGCGTGGACGTGAAGATGGAAACCGGCAGAACAGAAGGACGGTTTAGCAGAAAAAAATAGAAACCAAAAATCTGAAGGACTTGTCTCCCCCCCCCACAAACACACACATCCTTTGGGCAGCATGGAACGCTAAAATATTGATGTGGACCCTCCTGTTGCAGTGATGACAAATCATCCTCCAATAAATGTTTCATTCCTCCAGATGAATCATCTTCCCATTTTTAACAGATGAAGCGATTCGCTGCAGGAACACAGAGAGAAAAAGGGAGGAGATTCTGCAAATGAAAGAACCATATTTACTCACTACATGAAGTTTAAACAGCGTGCATTAAAAAATTACAATAAAAGGTTCATATATTGTATCTTTTCTTTTTTAACCGTGTCCTGCCTGGCGATAAGATTATATGGACACTGCAATGTAAGTAGAACAGGAAAAAAAGGAGAAAAGATAAAAACATGAGATAAAAGGGAGAAAATGATAAAACATCTTCAGTTTGCTTCATCACCTGCAAAGAGATGGAAAAAGAACAGAACAACCAACGGATATAAGAGATACAATGAAGTAACACCTAGATACTAACGCTGAAATATACTTAGGATTATTTAATCTGACATGTATACTCAGGGGTGGATTTAGGAAATGTGGGGCCCTCAGCATAGACAGGCAGGGGACCGTCTGGATTGAGAAGGCATCACATCAAACAGCCCCATTATGCAGACACAGAAATTTTAAAAGAATAGATGTACATAATTTTTTTGACCCTCTCTTCAGCTGAAAAGAGGAGGGTTACCAATCCACTTGCTCTGGAGAGCAGAGTTCCGTGCCAAAGTGTCCAGTAGCAGAAAACAGTCACTAGATTTGGCGCTTTTTTTAAAATAAAAGTGCTAGAAAAGTCGCTAAATATAGCAACAAAAGCTCTGCTTTGGGTGTGTGTGTTTACATATATTTTTACATATATGTAAAAATATATGTTTTATTTTTTTTAAAAACATATATGTATTTTTTTTTTGTGTGTGGCACTAGTGGCTCGTTTTCCTGACAGTAGGCTGACAGGAAAGGGGAAATGA